GTGTAAAGCCTAATTACCGTTTTCACTTTATCTTACCCTCAACATAAGCCCTCTGAAAAGCGTTTCGACATTTGGTATCGTTGAAAGAGTGCCGAATATTGCTCAATGAATGAAAGTCAAGAGATTGGGCAAAAATGTAACCGTAAGGCTAGGGCCAATCGTAAGTGCAAATCTAATTGTTGGCCTAAGGCTGAAATTCTGAATTTTTCAGCCATCCGCGAACATCTATCTGCACATCTTCGCTGAATAATAAATCCGACGACCACCCATGATCGAAACTGCTCTTCATCCATTTACACATCTATCTGACTGCATTAATTTCGATTTGTGTTCCACATCCATTCTCCTGCTTCATGAGATCTACTCAAAGTGAGCGAACCAAAATTTTTTCCGCAACTTCACTCTAATTAGAAACATTTTCACTTTCCGCGAATATCAACGTATTTCTCAGAAAACATCGTTCAAGTCAATTCAATGTCATGAAAATGATGAAAATAATCATAATACGACATGAATTTCAATCATAATAGCCTCTAAGCAATGCATTGAACGAATTAATCTTATGGCTAATAATAACGATACAAGTGGTGACGCAATGAGATATCATTTGCTTATAACTGAAATATAGCATGCTTCCAATTAATATAGTAACCATCCATATTCCATAACATCCAGCTGAATTAACATAATGCTGATTATCGAAAATGATAAGTAAGATGAATTAATTAATCAACGTGCTAAAAATTAAAAAACTGTAAGTATTCGAAATAACCGGCAATAGCGACAACAGCATCAGTGAACAGGTGAGCAGAATAATAGAACAAATACAGGCCATGTTAATGATATTGGTACACCACTCGCTTTCAAGCAAAACTCTCCTCCGCGAACGGGAATCGAACCCGCGACATACTGCTTGGGGCTCTACCCCTGAGCTTCGATTCCCGTTCGCGGAGGAAAATTTTGCTCGAAACCGAGTGGTGTATCAATATCATTAATGTTTTGAGCCTGAGTCAGGTCATGATCCGGCTCGTATCTATTATCTAATTATCTGTTATTATAGGCCATGTTGTTTACAGATAAAGATATACCTAGATAAGGAAAGACCACATATCAGTGTAAGTAGAGACGGATGACATGGATCTTCATCCATCAGTTTCTATTTAGCTATCCGTGAAGTGAATAAACAGAATTATAGTTAATGTTTGACGAAGTAGCAAAATGGTATTAGTATGGAGATAGATTGTTGCTTTTCGCAATGAATACAAATGACAAGTTTTGTTTAACGACTCCCCAAGGCTTTTTATTCATTCATTCATTGATAAACTGATGATAGATACATGTTGGTAGTAGATGGTTGGATGAATTAAGAGATATCTGCAATGAATATGTATACATATACTGATGCATGAACAAACAAATACACTCCGGATAATAAATTTTAGACAGTCGATTATATTAGTTCGTTTGGATTAATATACACATAAACATATATATGGATGTAACTGCTTGATTATTAAAGCTCAGCTGTATTTGACTGCACATTACTTTTTCGGTCATTTCAATCCATCATTAAATTCTTGTTTTATGTCCTATTTTCATTTTATAACATATCTACACTATATACAATATGTCTCCTACAAGATCGGTTCTTTTGAGATTAACTCGCATGCTTATTACACTCGTTATGTTTTAATTTATTTTCGAGTCAAACTTGAACTTAAAAATATTATCAATCATTTTTTATTGCCTTACTGTGATTAGGAAAAGCAAATCTGAACGGTCACTGAGATAGGTAAGAAATTTATTCAACGATTTACAGATGCTGCATAGAATCAAAGGAGAAGACGAAACGAAGTGAATGGAACAAAAACGAAACTGAATGAGCTGTAAAAATTTCAAACATGCTTATCATCATAACTTGTGTCTATACGCATGAAACTGATAAATTTTTTTGCTTTACATTGGTTGAGTTCTTGGGATGTCAAAAGATTCGAATGGACGTATCAATTGGAATAAGATTGTGCAATCAACGACTGATACTAATATATGAGTGCAAGGAATGTATTATGATGAAAGTGGTGAAGGTATTAATCAGCGACGTATCGTAGACACAATGAAGACAAAATGTTTCGATAATCGTGGTGATTCGAAGGAATTTCACATTATCTGCATTACAGTTTGTGAAATTCGCAAAATAAACTATCCTTTCGCTGCTGTTGTTGCTGCCTAATAAAATCGTCAGTGAATATACATCATAATGAAAATGAGTATCATTATCAAGGGAATTCAGCACGCAACAACGATTGCATTTAGATAAGATGCACGTAAGCTGTTAGGCTTTTATCGCAAATCTGTGAAATGACACTAAATGGAAAATGCGCCGCTCACATGCAAAGAGAGATGGATGAATAAATGAGAGATGACGATTATTAAAGGGATGCGAGGGAAAAAATTGTTCAAGCATAACTGCCAACCTCTGAGGACACAACTTGCGGCGTCCCTTTTTGAATTTAAGGCCAAATTCAGCAACAGCATTCGCTGTCCTGCATTCCTCCTTCTATATCATCATCATCATCATTATGATGTTTTCGAGCGCTTTCTCTACAACTGAAAAGCACTTATGAGTGGAAATCAGCAACCAGTCGTCGTCACGAAAAATTGATGCCAAAGTTCATTTTTGAGATGCTTGACCACCGTGAATGTCGACGGTACACGATACGAACCACGAACATTTTCCATTCCGATAACACCAAAACGAGGCTCGCAAAGCGAAAAACATAACAGCTTATGTACGCACATAAACCAATATGAATGAATGTGTGCTGATATAATATGGATTTAATTTTTTAAAATCGCAACTAGCTATTATAATGGCACATAGTCACTCCATTTTCGTACATGAGCATTCATGAGACAATTGTTTGAATTCAAGTCAAAATAGTCTATGAAACTATTTTTTGGTAATATTATCGGTTGAGGGCACTCAGCTGTATCGAAATGGTGAATTGCGAAAGTAACAGAGGAGCACTAACTAGACACAGTTCTATCTCAGTCACTTTAACGAACATTGTTGCTATAACTAATAATTGAATGGTGGATTAACTGCGAGTGTTAATTGTTTGTGACGATTGACTAGCTGCATGAATTCAAAATTCGCTAAACCTCAGAAGTAGGAAATGAATCGGTGAATGTTTATCGTGGTGGCATAATCGAAAATTCATGTAATAATTTGCAATGTCAACAAAATGAATATATTCAAAAAATACCATCAACAACAGCAACAATAATAATACTAATAATAACAATAACACCATTAAACAATAAACAACAATTTTCAAATTTAATGAATGAAAAACTTCATAAATTTGATTTTTTTCTTCAATTACATTTCGTTCATCATCTTTTTTTTCCATTACAGAACTAGTTTTTGTGTTCTATTCGTTCGCATTCATTTGCACCAATAATGGCTACCGAATAGTGGTGGTAATTTAATTTTGATTCGATTTGAGTCGACTCGAAAGATGTTCAAGTCAATACAACAATTTTCGTGTACGTAAGGTGAAGGAAAACAAAAGGTGCAATTTTAATTATTCACTGAATTACAGTCAGTTAAGCAAGAAGGCTGCCTGTCGCATCGTCTGCATCAGCACATCATTCATATAATTTGTTTCTTCACTTGATAAGTTTATTGATGCTAATGATTGAGTTATGGTGACGTTTTTGTTTATATTGATAATAATAATAATGATTATGACAACATAGCGTTGATGTTAACAATAATCACGTCACATAACATGGTGTCACATCAAAAGTTCATTATTCCATTCATTTGTTCATTATTGTTACCTATTCACTGATATTATATCATCACATCTTAGTAAACGTATCACATAAAAGCATCCGTATGCATACACTGAAATTCATACAGAATCAGGAGCATATACCGCTATTGTTCGTGATTATTGTTTATGATACGCTTATGCTTATGATAAGTTAAATGTGCGAGAGCCCGACGATGCTATCCTATTCTCGTCCGAAAAGTACTATGAATTGTAAAGTAGAAAAAAAAACAACTAGAGAAATTACTCATTTAGCTGTGTTAGCTAAATGAAGTTATTTGTGCTGTACTGATGAATTAATAATTGATTGGTTCGTTTATTTTTTTATCTCATTGCTTTGCTTTATCATTGCTCAAAAGTTTCATTTTGCATCTCATCATCATAGCATGCTGAGTTACGCTTATTTTGTTTCGTATCGCTTCGTTTGGTTCGGTTTGGTTGTCTGTTTATTCGCTCTCATTCGTTGAAGTTTCAAAATGAAAAAATAAACAGAATCACTCGTTTGGACGAAATCACCTCAATTATTCATCACCACATCCTCATTCTCTACCGACAATAACACGCTCCATCAATTGCTGACGTTGATGCGATTGCTGCTGTTCCATTTTAGCATCCACATAAATTTCCAAAATTTTTCCTCCGATTTTCAGTCATTTGTGTCGTAGTGTTCGTCAATAATTGAATAAATAAATTCTAAATACATATGTACATAGATGAATAATAAATCTTACGTGCAATGTGCAGTCATCGTTCTCATTATTTTTGATACCTCTACCTTTACTTGCATCTATCTATCTATCAAACTAAACTTATATTTACTCAAAATTGCAAACAGCTCTACGAACCACACACTCAAATACAGCCAGTCAGCCGGCAATCAACACCAGCTAGCCAACTTTCGCTCAGACATTCATTGCATTACAAAACGCACCTCAACGCCAAATCAAACGATCCTTCGCTCTATTTCATTGATATTATTATTATCACTATTATTATAATTATTTCTTATTACTAATGTTATTTATCATTATAATTAATATTAATTGACATTGTCGCTACTTATCACATATCAAAGTATAAATCGAAAAAATTTTCTCGCCTCTTTCTTTATTTCCTTCTTTCAACAGGTGTTTTGATTGCATCGGATCAGGTCGACATTCTATGGCCCCAAACAACCGGGAGAATGTTGTGGTTGGAAGTGCTGCGAGGAGTGCTAATCGATTCTCAAAAGACAGCAATTATGACAAGAATCGTCATAATTCGTCGCAATCGCAAAACTCTGATTGGTGGTCATACTCATCGAATGCAAATGCATCATCAACAACAGGAGCATTCATTTACAGTGACTCGGTGAAAGAGCTTGATGAACAATTAGCAAAAGTTCGTCAATCACCATCCAAGGTTAATTAATAAAGGCAGTCATTCACAACACTATTCAATATTACATCCGAAACAATATTCAATTTTAAGATTGTTCCATGGGAGAAGCTTCTACAAGATTGACTCCCTCTGAGATTTTGAGAAGATTCAGACTGATAAATGAAATTACGAGAACGACATTGTTGATACTCATGGCAATTTACGAAGATTTGGTCATCAATTAAGAACTTCTTCGATAAAATTTTCGACTGTGTAATCGAATAACAACAATAGCAGATTTCGATGACCTTTTAAAGGGCTTTTAAAAGGTGATAGCAAGCACACACTTTGTTTTACCTTAAATTCAGTGTTTTTTAAAGATACAACAGAGGAAAGCAATTAACTTAACTGTTTCTTGTTACTGATGTTGGCATAATACTTTCTAATAACGATGAATATGGTTGCGATGAACAGCATATCAATATTCTACCCCTTCTGGCTGCTGTTTTCATTTAAGACTCGTATGTACAAAGCGGAATTTGCTTTTGCTCTTTCCATACGTGCCATTTATGTTACCCAGTCAAACTGCCTAAAGACATTTTGTCTAACGACAGTTTGCCAAACGTACAGTTTGCCTAATGGACAATTTGCCTAACGGACAGTTTGCCTAACTTACGGTTTTTTGATGGATATTTCGCCTAATAAGCAAACTGTTCCTTACGTAAACTGTCCGTTAGGCAATGTGTCTTTAGGCAAGTTGTCGTTGGGCAAAATGTCGTTAGGCAGATTGACCGGTCACGGCCATTTATGATCATTGTCAGCAAGTTTGTCATTCTGCCACAACGCACCATTTTCACGCCGAATTGCCATTTCCTGACACAACCCTCCTCATTTCTCCGGGTTTGGGACCAGCACGAAAGGTTACTAGCCAAAAAAGGCAACGACTGTCCTCTTCCGGGACTGAGTTTAAAAAGAATCTCTTTGGTCAATAATTGCAATTTCAGATTCTTCACAATGGGAAGAACTTCACCATTTTTGTGGATATGAGTCGCTTTTATCCAGAACAGATAGAGGTAAGCCAAATATTCATACTAATAGAGATACTTCAAAAAATATTACAGAAAATATCAGTGATCATTCAAAAATTTTTTGAAGATTATCGTCGCTGGAAAACGCCTAACTGTTCGAGCTACATCGACGGTATACCTTGATGAGAAGCATTCAGTTGATAAGATATTTATTCGTAAATTCATTCTCAGTTCAGAAATTCTCATCGAAACTATCACAACAGATTTAACGAGGTGAGATGAAATGTCAATAACGGTTATCACCCCTCTAATAGTTCAATAACGAAGCATTAGTAATACTAGTTCATGTTTTCAGCCTAAACCCAGTAACATTATCATCAGTAGTAGCAACCCATATTATCGATATTACTACATCATATTACAAGGAATGCTCGTCGATATGATCTCATTACTCATTCGTATCGAAAGCACTTAAATTATGAATAATAATGTTAATAATAATAATAATAATAATAATAATATTAATAATAATATCAGTAAAACACTAACGGCAGTGCTGGACAAGAGTGAATAAGGATAAAACCTAGATATTAGATAATAATTTATACAAGTAAACGCATTCAAAATTCTCGACAACTACTCACAACATAAATGATACTGGAATCTCGTACAACCTTTCGAATTTGCGCATTTTGATCGATTGATAGATAACTTAAATGCATAGAGATGGAACGATTGAATGCAATATTACAATGTAATCAAATACACGTTCACTTTCATAGAGCACTTTAACTAACGAACATACCGCTGAAATCAATCAGTTCTCCTGATACCAACAAGAAGGATGAAGACAAAAATATCCACCTGACGAATCCTTAATCCATAACGCTTGAATTTGTACACATCTAGAATTCGAATAACTTATTGTTTTCAGATAATTATTTATGAATTCAAGTCAACATCAAGTCGAAGTTTTGGATGTCTGAAAAATGCAATGATGTCTAACTGTGGAAAAACCTTTCCTTAATACAGCTCTACATTTGCAAAAAAGAATAAAATATATATTTCAGATTGTATATGCTGACAATAAATGGAAAACTAAACCAGTAGAAGTCTTCGATGATGAAGATTATTAAAATATCAAAAATACATGATAATGATGATGAGTAATTTACAAAATTTTCCGCTAACTCTTTCAGTCTTATCAGCTAATGCATTATACCACCATCATGAACAATGCGCACCGAATTCGTGGCTGTGAAATACCTATAATCCAGTCTTGAATATCATCCCTTGCTTCTTCCATAATCACTGGCAAACGATTCCTTTTTTTGGATTTTCCATTTATTCATTTCAATCCTTCATCGTCTCTAAACATCCCTTACAATCTACGACACTAAAACGATAGTACAAACATACGTTGGACGTTATTCATAGTCCGCTTCGTACCCACATCTCACCTTGGGCATATCCACAATTACCCACATTCGTTGGGCATTTTATAGCGAGTTTTACATATTATTTTTGGTGAATCATTTATTTATTAACATTTATTCGTCCGAATTCCAGTTGTTTTTTTCGTTATTTATTCAATTATTTATTTATCTATTCATTAACTTAACCAACAATATTATACCATACCAGATATTTTGATTGATCTAATTTTACAATTAATTACTTTCGTCAATAAATTAACATTTTTATATGACTATAATCATATATTATCCGATTATGTGACGCATTTCTTGTTCGTTCTCTTTCCAATGTCACTTTGTTGTTGCCATTTTATTATTACTTTATTATTATTACTGTTAACTGTTATTACTATCATTATCAAAAATGTTTTCCCTTCACTGAAAATTCAGCTGAAAGAAACAAATGAGTAGTAGCATGAAGGCGCATCAACATCGGAGTTAATATTTCCTATTCTAATCCGGGTCAGCCTAATTAATTCGATAAACAAGAAAGTCTGAGTGTCATCTTCACCCGTCTCAATTAGATATAAATATTCATCAAATGTTCATCAAATGCAAACCCAAATAAATGGATGTAAGAATGTTAATGACGATACTGATAATAACGGTGATGATTGTGATAAGAAGAATAATTATAATTTTAAAATTCTGCAAAAAAAATTTCAATTTCTTGCTTCAATCTTTCAAATAATACTTCTGATGACATTCGAACGTCTCGCACAACTATCAATACCAATAAAGTGAGTACATATATATTCTTTCGAAAAAATAATTGATGAAACAGGAAGCTGTTACTAATAATATTATTATAAATAATAATAACAAGATGAATAATGATAATAATCACAACAGTAATAATAATTACGATAATAATAATATGTCAATAATAACAGTGAAGAATAATAATGAAAACGACTAAGAATGGGAATGATAAGGGCAACAATAATAGTAATAATGATAATAATAATTATGATAATAATAGTAATAATAATACTAATAACCATAACAGAATCGAAAGCAATGAATGAGATAAAATTATCAAATATTGTTAAGAAATACTTAACATAAATGTAATATCACAAGTTGAGAAAACACAAATAATTTAACATATCTATTCATAGTTACATATTCATACCATTCAAATTCACTCAAAAAAAAAAACAGTTTTACAAAAATTATAACAAAGAATAAACGAGATGAATCAAAAGATGACCTCAGCCCTACAGAACGAACAACTTCTATGCCAAGGGTTCCCTTCAAATTCTTCTTTTCATAGACACGTGAACTTCATGTTGAGGAATAATTTGTTACTCCTAGAAAAGCTTTTTAAACGAGCTAGTCGCTCCTTGATAATGAACTGTTTGGAAAAAAAAAGAGGGAGGAAAACGGAGAAGGGCGAGAGCGTGTGGGACAGAGAACATTGGAAGACGGGATAGGAAAATTTGGAAAAAAAGGGGATGAGTAGGACTTAAACCCGTTGTTTGTTAAGAACGAGGACATTGGGGAAAAACCCGTGTTCTAGCAACAAGCATTTTTCATAAAGTATTTATGAATTAAATCGAAATCATGTATTTTTGACGACAACATCGCTCAAAGCTTATTAATTATTTCCAAAAAGATAAGCTTTATTATCAACATTTTAATTGTCTTCCTTAATATTTCGCATAAGCAAATGCTCCTGAAGATTCCTCATGTCGACGACAAATGATCCAATAACAATTCGTGCAATCAACCATCCAGTTATTCATTCAACTCAACTTCAGCAACATTCGCATTCTGATTGACTGGCTTCTTTGTAGATGTCGTTCACTTTTGCTAGACACGAATGCAAAGAACATAAACATGCAAAGATGTGAGGATAGAGTGATTGAAGCATACGATACTGTAAATACGTTCTTATCGAGTGTATATTCGAATAAGGAAACTGTTGACTGATTGATGAGATACAATACATAAGTTATAAGAAACTAGGCAGAAGCTGCAGATTTATGATCCGATTGGCTGAGAATCAATGTTTTTGGTGTAAGAATATCGGCAATCAATGCAGTCATCGATGTGCCACCAATGGACTGCTTAAAATAGAGTTCGAGTAGAATGGATTCGAATTGCGGCATCGTTTCAAGAAGGACCATACATGATATATATCGTAACGGTTGACACGGATAAGTGATTTGCTGATGACGCGCTAAATTGAAAGCTGACAACTGCTCCATTTGTAAATGTCGACCTGAAATTTGGCTATTGCTCATTCGAAAATCAATAAACGTTCATTGACTGATTGATCAATCATTGTAGTTTGAAAGTGAAATTTCATCAGCGTTCTAGCGAGCAACTTTTTTCAAACTTTCACTAATTCGCTAGTTTTCGTCTGCAAGGTAACACTTACTTTTCTCGACATCAATACTTGCCCTATAGCACTGACAAGTGCTAAATTCTTCGAATTTATCATACTCATACGCATCTGAACGAGTCGAGCTTAAATATTCAATGTTATCTCATCAGTATACCACTAATGCTCCATCTGAACGCACTAACTTATGTGACTTTGAATAAGTTACAGTGAAGTTTTCTTCATTTCTGTTTTTGCTGAGAAAGGATATAACAAGAACCGAAAGATGCAAATTCTCAAAAGAAATGGTGATATTCTTATGAGAAAGTCGCTGGCAGTTGAGTACTTTTCATTTTTGAATTTTGTTGTCGTTGTTGAATTTGGTTGTTGTTGCTGACTGTTGTTCAATGTTGGCAGGTTTTTGCTGATTAATTAAAAATTTTTGACTGTTCAGTGGCGTAATGAGGTCTTTTCCCGAACAAATAGGTGATGCTGTTGCAGATTTTGAGGGAAAATTTGAAAGTAGCAGATTAGCGGACCAATTTTGCCGAGTATCGTTCTAGCGAAAAATATCGCTGTTTTTTTCCGATTAGTGGTACTTTTAGAGAGAAGTTTTCGACACTTTTCCATCAACGGCGCCACTAGCAAATTATTTTTGTTGGAACCGAAATAATTTTTCAGCGATTTAACAATCAGAGGGACTTCTTTGTTTCAGTAACATGCTCATCATCAATCAAATCTAAAAGTTCCTTTACCTGATTTACTTCAACATTTCACCGTTAAAAGAAAATGAGTACCTTTCATGAGACTGATAAGTCTTAAATGATTGAACTCATTCGCATCCAGATTCAATTGTTCCAGTTGATTCACAACTGAACTTAAACGTTTTCGCATTTCCATGTGTGCATCGCAAATACGCTCTTGTATTAAGGTTGCACTTTGCATTATACCACTTTCAACTGCAGATAATAAGAACAACACACCCCAAGATGAACTGAACGCTGTTATCTGTAAACTTTTACAATCATTTTTTCGTATTATTGCTATCACTATTTAAAATTTTACTTTTAAATTTTTATCGTTATTGTTATTATCACTATTATCATTATTATGATTATTATTTATTTATTATTATTATTATGATTATTATTATGATTATTATTATTATTATTACTATTATTATTATTACTATCACTATCAGCATTAACATCTTTAAACTGAGCATATTGATTAGTTGTTTTATCAGCGCTTATAGACTAGCAATATCGTTAAAAGATCGATCATCAAAAACTGAAAATATCTATCTGAGTGACTCACTGACCTGATCGGCATTTGAGAGGCAAACGAAAGGGACAAGGGATTTAGACCAGTGAAGAATCTGGAAGAACAATCGTGCGGCCGAATCTTTTGAAGGTGATCCATTTAGAGGTGCATTTAGAATGGTTGATGTGGTGGTTGTGGTTGTGACTGCGTTCGTTGATGATGAACTTGTTGTGAGAATATCACTAGCTGCACACGATGCAGGTGAATCGGAATCTGAGCCGAATTCTGGCTAAAATTTCGAACATTTCTTTGGAACATTCTCAAGCATTCCCTATTCCACGTTTCCACTTGATAAAATCCTTCTCAATCACCATCATTTTCGAAGTCAAATTGGTGCAAAAGTGATAAAATAGCCGAACCAGCAAAAAATTTTATCGTTATCACCACCATCAACAAAATTATCATCACTGCTATCATTGTTCACTTAGCGATCAAATCAGATCAGTCCAGCGTTTCAGATGAGCTGTCTGCACGCACTTAACTAAATCAAACAAACCACACTCAAATTAAATGAATGCAAACGAACCGATCTATCGTCACGATTCAACAGTAGTGAGCGTTGCACAGCTTCAGATCCTGCACTCCGTCGTACGGGCGGGGATGATGAGGAATGCAGATAGGATGAGGAACGTGTGTGCACTCGATGTACAGCTGAGGTGGTATTTGCTGCAGCATACAAAGCAATATGTCTTCGGATGGTTGCGTTGCGTGGACCTCGTTCATGTTGTACGGCTTCTTTATTCATACCGATCTGGAGGCATTTCGTCAATCTGCACGCACGACACTGATTCCGATGCGTTTTATCCACCAAACACTTGCCTTCCTCACAACCACCACGATTTTTACATACGTATTGACGGTGACGACGAATTGAACGCTTCAATTTTTGGTTGTTAGTCGTGAATTGACTGAATCGATGATTCAGAACCCGTTGATTGATTCATTCTGACTGAATAACTCTGATGGGCCGATCCACTCGATGAATCAAAAAATCAAATTTGATGAAAATTTATTGAATTTAAAATTGTTGACCCGAAGGCAGTGATACCTTAAAAAAGCCAGCACAACCATCGCAACTGAAAATGCCATAATGTTTCCCAGATGAGTGGTCCTGGCACACACGACACGGCACGTTCAGAAGTATGCGACCTGATAATAGCAATAATTATACGCCATTTAGCACCAGCAATAACAGTGGCATCTCCCAAATGAAACGGTAATTAAACTTGGTAATTGCAAGAAGATTATTAAATTCAGTGAATAGACAAAATGCAAGTCAAAGACAGGAAAATGATGTGGTTCATTATGAACAGCAGCTTGAAATCACGAGGGTGATGTTGACGAGGATTTGGATGATTTATCAAATACTGATATATAAAGCGTGTCTGGATAGTATAATGTGGCATGAATGGATGGAATGTACGATATACGACAACCACAGCTGAAGCTAATGTATGTTTGTGTATATGCATGTTTATAAATATGAAATGAAAAGTGAATAATTACGAGAATCACCTGAGGCGATAGGCAATAGAATCAAATGCATAGATGTGATGTGATAATGCAGGCACGAGTACACATAAATGAGCTATGATTTGCTTCTTATTAATCATTAAACAAGCATTTTGCCAAATCAAATCCGAATCCTTTCACCCATCACTCCTTCCGTTCACGTATCTATCCTCACGTTTAACTTATTATTAAAATCCATCACTTATTAACTTATTATTGCAGCTTATCGCTTCTAATCACATCGTATCGCATCATTCACATTAAACTTTTATATTACAGGCATAGAATATTTATTACCGTAGTCCACAATGAATGATCATTATTAGTAAATTTTGAATCAAGGAGCAGTAGTGATAAGAATGATGATGACAACAGAGGAGGATAAACTCGTAATGTGTTGTAACTTATGATTTATAATACAATTTTTATCATCTACATACTTAGTACATAAATGATAATGACAAGTTCAACTTTGATTTGATGACTAATGCATTGAAAGCATATAGTAATATTCGCTTTCACTACAGCAGTCTGATAGTGAATAATTTCAGCTGTAATAATACAAACAATAATGATAATAATACTGATAGCAATAACAACAATAATAATGACAACGATAATAATGATAAAAATAGTATGTAACTCTCGACTGACTAAACATAAATTGTTTCGATTAAAATCGAACAAATGACACAACACTTAAATCAGAATTCTGCTTCACTCATCAACAATAAATATCAAGTGCGCACTTAAGAGGGATTGATTCACTGAAGTAAGCATTACTTATTTATTATTATTATTATTATCACTATTATGTACTTATTAGGAAAGGAAAGATGCATAGATTGATGAGTGAATTTATGCAGCTATTCCGACATATTGCTCTCTCTATTGTGATCGCTATTAATGCAAATTTAATCTTCATGATAATGACAACAAAAACAATATTGATAATTATGATTATTCTACACTCATCTTCATCTTTGTAGCACTTATTCGTTTGCCATTTAACGTCAGCGAAAGAGTGCCATCAATCTCCGAATACCGTACTCTGTTGATTATCAAGTTGAAGAGAACGTCATTTTCACAACTTTTTGAAAGATGCATCCACCCGTGAAGTCGTTTACACTTACATCGCTCCCTACCTTGTATTGCTATACTATGTGCTACAATTATGCTCTATCACGTCACATCATATCATTTCATATCTTAACACATCATTGCAAAAACTGCACTCAGATGACTCCAATGTAAATTATGATGGTAATGATGATGTTTGTAGACTTCAAGCAAGTATTAACAACAACTATACCAAAAAGGTTGCTGAAATTATACCGAGTAGTATTAGTGACGCTACCAGTTGCTGTGATAATAATAATACCAATAATAATAAGAATAATAATTTCATTATTAGCATCGCTACACTCTTAGTTAATAAAATAGTTTAAGAGATGCAAACATTGAAATTCTGAAAAAGAATAAAACGTTTTTGATCGTATGAGAACGACCTTCGGTCAAGTTGAGACATGCAATAGGCTGCACTGCATGTGTGTATGTGCATGTTTGAGTGAGTCTTGTTGAGTAGTACATACTTGAAATCATCTTTGATAATACTATGAACAAATCTAGTCAGTCAATAAATCATTTTATATATATAATGCTTGTCAGTATAATAAATAATTGCATATGCACATCACACTCACATATACAAATACGACACACTATAAGTCGATGAGAGCAGAAGTTCGGTTGAATTGAGTCAAGAGGCTGGTGCTACTGTAAAATTAGAGATGAAGTGAACTGTTTTAGGATATCAAATGATAACTATCAGTATTAAGAAACAATGAAGAAATTGAAATCTGAAACGTTGTTAGCCTTTAGTAGCGGTCGGAGGCTAAAAAACACCGACTGTCATCAATGAAATGCACACAAAGAATGCGATATCATGCAACATAAAATTGCAACACACGTCCTCAGCTCTGTGCTACTTTTTTGATCGCACTATCAGCTGATCACTCGATGTTAACTTATGAATATCCGATCGTGGGCTGGATCAGATTTTAGCTGAGCTAAGCTTAACTTTAGTTGAATCTCACAAACAGGCTTAGAAAGATACGAACACCACGGATAGGGTTAAGTGACACCTGATCATAAGACCTACTGTAGTTCTGATCAAATTAGTTTAATTGCATGTAGTACTAACAAGTTGGTTTGTTTTATTTATCACTTCTGGGACTGCTCTGATCTAGTGTTGGTTGTGCTGCTGTCGAATTTGATGGGTATGCAAAGAAAAAAAGACGGATAAAAGAAACGAACTAATCAAATGGTTAATAGAAGTGATGGGTTCATTGAAAACATACCTTGCATAAATATCTACGCATATAACTCGAAATAAACAATTGTGAATACCAATCGAATGAACAAATAAATATCTGACCGCTCAAATTAATTGAATTGCTCGAGCAAAACGAATTTCAAAAATGAACGCAAAAGACACTTACTTGAAGGTGTTGTTGATGAAGGCCCTGAAGAGGGAATGTTGAATGAGGAAGTCATTGGATTTCAGCTTTATTCAGTTATTAGCTGGGCTAAGGATGGAAGAGGAGGAAGGTAAATGAGTTAAGTTAGTCAGGCGGGGGCAATCTAGGGGTTAATATGACAGGATAAATAACTGGATCAGAACTCGATTCAATACTGTCACAAATCACGAAGTCATATAAAGTTTTATGATAGAAAAAAACAATAATTAATATTAGTAACCAGTGCCTTCTACTATTGTTATCAGTGAAAGCAATAGATTCAGCAGAACTCACAAAAGGCACAGAATGAAAAAGTGAATGCAAAAGTGCCTTTATTCGTCATCGGCATTGTCATCAACAAATTGACTACGACCAATAACGACCAAATATATTATTATTGGCTGACGCAAGTGCGAGGAGTTAAAAATGGGCGGAGCGTATCCGGCTATCTCTTGCAATGATTGGTTGATTTGTTGAACGATTACGGTGAGTTAGGCGTGACGGTGTTCACATTATATACATCTCTATTCATCCTATTTATCCGTCTGTGTATACATAATCATATCTTCATTAATCCTCAGATGAGATACACTTTGTTTCGTGTATTTGAGGATGAAACTAAACTATATTTGTATGTATTTGATGCAATTATTAAAGTTAATAGTATGATATTATTGTTATTATTAATATGATATTATTGTTATGAACGTTAGTTAATAAGTTATCATAGGTATTCGGTATGAATATTGAAGATAGTTAAATTGACTGGAAACGAGGATAAAAAGTAGAAAGAGAATAGAAACAAACTCGAACAACTTCATGTTACACGACAGACGCAATAACAATAATAATAGAAATAATAACAACAATAATGCAAAGATGAAATAAAACAAATTCTTTAGATATTGATTACGTACATAGATATACAAATCAAGATATTTAGATGTTCATGAGAAGAAACAATTTTAACACGTTCTCTATTTCAAGAAGATCTAAGAAATTTAACCAGTTAACCTCAGAAAGGAAAAGATCCACATCGTATGAGAATAAGGTTGAAAAGATGGATTTGCTCATACTTAACTTTATTTATTCTTTTCAGTCCAAACTCTTTGAAAGTTTCATTTATATTCATAATAACTTTTACTCTCATTTTGGTGACAACAATAAGGGAAATGTTAACATTAAAATAAAGACAATAATAACAAATATAACAATAGTGATAATAACTTATAAACGATTGATGAATGTCATCAAGCATCCATTCACCTCATTTATCTATTCAAATTTAGCGCTCTATTTTTTATTTTCCTATGCACATATACATACAAACTTTCAGTGTTACTTAAAATATCTCAAATTTACAGCACGCAGCAACAATCAATGGTAGGCGCGGCGCGACTATTCAAAATGATAATTCATCTTTAACATTTTGCGTCATCTGGAAAACTTTTAATATCAAATCTTCAAACGGCCAGCGGTTATTCAACAAATCACTTCATATTAATCAGTATAACATAAATCATTCATCTACATACAATCAACGTTATACA